GTAACCTTCTCCTTATCAACTCTTCGGAACATTTCAAGGATGATCGATTAAGCAAACCGATGTTCAAGCCAAACCGGAAGCAATATCTGTCCAAGGAGTTGGGTACCGAATATTGACGTACACAGAATACCAAAAGTTATTTATAGATCAGAAAAACTCCCGGAATCCCTTTGTGAGATTGATAATGATAAAGAATGTATATATGATAACACAATATTTGATGTTATGAATTTAGACCGATATTCTGATGGAACGTTTGGCCTCAGAAAAGACGTTATAGAACTACCTGTTGCCATGGCATGTTTAATGAGCTCTGTTTTAAATGGAGGACATGCTGATTCGAATATGAGAGTTTTTGATTTGGTTAGATATTCCTCAAACCTACGGAAGATAAGTCTGTGAAGGATAGAGTTCAAAGCAGGCATAACTACAGTGTAATTTGTTATTTAATTTTGTTTTGACATTAGTTTAGCTTTGATTTTAAAAAAAATATTTAATGTTATACATGTACCTCATGAATGATTAATTCTTTTTCTAGTTTTTATATTGGTCATGTGTTGTTTTAAATGGTTATTGACTTCTATATCTATAAAAAATGTATCAAAAAACATAATTTCATAAAAAATATCAATAAAGCGGAACGAAATTTAAATTCATCTGTAATTCATGAGCTCAATATCTGCAAGCATTTAGAAAAAAAAGTGGGAAAAACCGAGCGGGAGGTTCTGACAAATAGAGGGACAGACGGACGTACGGATAGAGAGACGGACAAACTCGGCCTTTTTCCGGTAGGGGACTACAGAGTGTAATAATACGAGCGATGGATACCACCTTTTAAATAAAATAAAAAAGGATAAAAGAAGCTCATGATTCTCTTTTTTTCTCCTTGCCGTTTTTATTTTTTTTATTATATATTGTTCTGCTTTGGAAAACTTTAATTGTAACTTATACATAGTTTTCAAATATATGACAAATTATCTTTCGAGCTGTTTCCCTTGATCGTCATAATGGTGATCAACCTGGTTATTTTTTCCTCGTTGTCTAAGAAATTCTTTGGGAAAATTTTAATTGAAAACTATCTTTTGTTAAGTGTAAGTATATCCTTCAAAATATAATGTTGAAAAAAATGTAACCAGTTCTTCTTAAACTTTTTTTTACAACATATTAAAGGGCACCTTTAGTCAAAAATTATTGTTCAATTAAAATATATATTCGGTTATTTAAAATCCAGTCCTGAAAAAATCACGTTTGTAAGATGTGTGGTTTAGCTGAAATTAATTAAAATGTCAAATGCTCGGTGAAAGTAATCTGAGCTCGGCAGTTTCCGCTGTTGTCGGCTGCATGACGAAAAGAATGTGAACAGATGCAGAGACAGCTTCAATGTTGTTACACTACATGGCATGTAAATAAACATGTCCTGTGATACTCACAGTGAAACAAAAAGGGGTAGAAGATGTGTAGCGGGTGGGTGTTCAAGTACACATTTAGATGGAGTGTCCCTGCACTATTTTCCATTTAAAAAGGAACCACATCTTGTACCAAAGTGGACTGCCTGTGTTAGACTTAAGAGAAAATGGCCTGAGGGCCCTACTAAATATTCCAGCCTTTGTGAATTACATTTAGATGACTCTTGTTATCCATTTGAGTATCGATTCAAAAAATCACAAGGAATTCCAGTGAAGAACAAAGTTCTAAATCCTGGGTCAGTACCAACAAAACATCACCCTAGTGTTTTAGGAAAACGTGATTTGAGCTCTATTGAGGAGGGTGAGGAGAAATCCAATGAGAGAGAGAAAAAAGAAAGGAAACGGATAAGAGGGGCATTTGTAAAACGAGAACATTTTAGAGTAAGTAGATTTTACATTTTACACCTTAAACAAAGATGTTATTAGTAAATATTTTTAGAAGGTCTGGAAAATGTTTATACTGGTAATTCATAACAAAATATTTGAAGATGATACATGTATCTTATTGTAGATCATTACAGAGAAAACAGAAGTTCAGAATAAATCTATGCAAGAAGCTGAAGCTAGAAAATCAGAAGAAGATTCAAATTGCACAATGACTGACAATGAAATCAATGTAAGCTTGAAAATGAATAGAAATATACCATACCCTTTAAAAAATAATTAATATCTGGACTGAGTATGCATACATGTATATCCTGTTCCATAGTCTTGTATATTAATTTAATTGGGATTTTTAGAAAGGTTCAGAAGGATTTTCAAAATCAAAAGAAGCCTTCAGTCAGACAAAAAGGTCATGGAATAAAAGAAGTAAATCTAGCCAAACCAAATCTAAAACATCTACCAAAGGTAAATATAAGATGAACATTTTCTGAGACTTAAGAGTTTCAATTAATCTAATTTAAAAAAAATATTAAATTGTGAAATGGAAGTATTTCTTTTCAATCAGGGACTCAAATAAATATGTATCCTGCCAGAAGAAGTGTGGGTATACAGTGCAATATAAACGATAATGAACAATCTATGAGTGATCAATTCCTAAGATACGAGGATGACATGCCAACAGAATCCTCCGACCTGGAAATTTCTTCTGATTCTGAATATCAAGAACATCCTGAAAGTGATGATTCCATGGAGTATTCCTCCGAGGAAAATGAGTGAGTTTATAGGTTGTATTTCATATTTATTTATGCTGGGAAACTCTGCATGATCAACTTTTTTTAAAAAGAGTTTTTTTTTCGTTTGCTTGTCAGAAAACCAAATGCAAGAGAAGAGAAGAAATTCATTGTGTTTCAATCCCAACTGATGAAGTTATTTCATACCTGTTCCAAATGCAAGTCTCCAGTTGTGGGGAAGATAAAACAAATAAAAGGATCATTCATTTCAGTTGAAGTGGAATGTATTCTTTGTAATTTAAAATCAACATGGAATAGTCAACCCTATATTGGAGAGGTACCTGCAGGAAATCTTTTGATATCAACATCAATTGTACTATCAGGGTCCATTCCAAGTAAAGCTCTCAGAATGTTTGAATTCATGAATGTTCAAGCTCCAAAACTGTCAACATTTTACAATCATCAAAAGTGCTATATACATCCTGGAATTTTTCATATTTGGAAGAATTTCACAAATTCTTATGTAGAATATGTGAAGCAACAAGGAAATCCACTGGCTCTGGGTGGAGATGGCCGAGCTGACAGCCCTGGACACTCTGCAAAATATGGGGCTTATTCAGTGATAGATCTAGATGAGGGGCTAATTGTGCACATAGAGCTTGTTCAGGTACTGTTGAGTGTTAATTACTGATACATGTATTCTTTTCGTATTTATGTAATATCTTAATCATTTTATCCCATTTATTCCTGTGTGTTAAAATATATATGTATATATACATATATTGTAGTCAAATGAAGTCAAAAGTAGTTCCCACATGGAATTAGAAGGTTTGATTAGAACAATGGCTTATTTTTGTGATATGGAGGTAGAAATAGGCACATTAGTAACTGATCGGCATGTCCAAGTCAACAAGTGGGTTCGTTTTCGGTATTTGATGCCATGATTGTGCAGCATTGACATGAACACCTACTTGGGTATCAGAAAAGAAAAAAATTGTATAAAAAAAATATTTGTTTGAAATTTTCTTTGTCAAAATATTTTTGACCTTAATGAAACAATGCAACTTTGATATGTATAATTGAATTAAAAGAAAATTAAACTATTCTTCACCAGTCTGTGTTATGTGTTCTGTCTTCCTCATCAGCTTCTGAATTGTCGGATGCATCTTCATCAGAAGTTGCATAAGGCTCATATTGGTATGGGAGAATACCAAAGCCAGCATTTTCTGTCCCAATAGTATCAGAATCTGTCTCTTCATGGTCAGAAGAATCTTCACTAAGATCTTCTTTATTGTCTAATTCCTCCTCAACATCCAAATCAAACCAAATGTCATTTTCTTCTAATATTTCAATTTCATCTGTTTGTGAAGCCATGATGCTAATTGTAAAGTAAAAGGCTCTCGCGGTCACATTCGTGACGTTTCACATTCCACAGCTGATAAGAGAACTTTTGCAGCTTTCACGCTCGTGTGTTTCCGTGAGCAGGCAGAAAAAGTCAAATTTTAATTGTTTTATCGGCTAAACCGCTGCAGATAAAGAGGTGCAGATTTTTCATGTGTCCATAGATAAATTACTTTTAATGATTAGTAAAAAGAAAATATTTGACTAAAGGTGCCCTTTAAACTCTTTTATGGCAAGTGGTGGCTTCTCCATATGAATGAAAAATCCCTAGAGGGACATTCAACAACAACAAAACGACAAAATCAAACTTTATTGATTTTATAAGGCACTGTAAATTATGTTCGGAAACAAGTGTTTTCTGTTTTAATTTTGTTGCACACATTCATGTTCGGGGACGGTATCTATTTAAAAAAAAAAATAAAATCATTAGATTAAAATATATGTGATGAAAAATGATAAAACAAAATGAGACTTTATAACAGTCATTTAAACTGAGTATTATGTTTTTTTTTAAAGTGTTATTCTTTATTTTTATGTATGTTTTCCACAGAAACAATGAAAAACAACGTCTGATGTTACATGTTTTACACTGTACCATCTGCACATTTTAACACATTTGATCCCTCTGTGCTGCGGCCGAAAGAGAGGGCACAAAATATGGATTAAAGAAAATTATGAAGGTGGGATAAGAATATTTTTTTAGAAAATGGTTACTAAAGCATTCAAAACTTCGTACTATTTTTGTTTGCTTAGTATAGGAGTGCTATGTTATGTTACCCAGTTTTTGTTATGAAATTAATAAAATGTAGACAATCCTTTATGGTTAAAATCGTTTAAGGCTGTATAGATTTCGTTTGCTTTTCATTCACAAATTATTTGAAGTAACATTGCAATGTAGAAACCATTAGTCACATACTATTGTTTTTTCTTCATCCTATTGAAATTATTCTACCAAATGACTCCAATCTTTTTTTTACCACAGTCTATAACACTTGTTCTAAATATAAATCAACAAAATGGGAAATCCCACAGTTTTTGCAAAACACATGTGATTATCTGTAAGCAGGTAAAAGACTCTTTAATACTATGATATAACTTTCTACTTAAGTTTTAGTATTCTTTTTAATCAATACAATTTTAATCATGTTAATATAACAATGAAAACATTATTATTGCAATTTATGTTACTTTCGTTTTCTTTGTTTGTATATATAATGCACATTGGTGAATAGTGTAGTGATAAAGGATGTGTAAATGCATTTCCAATGCCCTTTCACACTGACCTCATGGCCACCCATCCATGCCAACATGCTTCCATTGTCATACGAAAATTCGCCAGGCCTACGTGATGTGCATGACAAATAAAGCAAATAATGCATGAAAAATATGCAACCTGGATATTCTTTATAAAGAACCCTCTCGCTTAGATATCTAGATAGAAATTGACATTCATCTTTTCTGAAAAATTCTGCCAATGAAAAATAAAAGAGTTCCCTTGAATCAAAATAGTATTGTTTGGCATAATTTATACAATAAAAAATACACACATCTCGTCAAATAATTAGAAGGCGCTGAAATAAAAACCCCGGATGAACCACTCAAGACCCATTACATTCACACAACATATAGATGAATTAGAATAATACTATCTGGTACACATTTACTTCACACATACATTATCATATACATAAATACACTTAATAGCTTTGACTAGACACACAGGAAGTTGAGTTCGAGATACGTATACTTTAAAAATAAATCCAGATTTTTTTTTATTCCATTATTTCTGATTTTATCTTATACTGATGAGAAATGAAAAACAAACTGAATTATTATATCAATAAGTAATTATGAAATTTATGAAATATCAATCTTAACTTCTTAGTATGTTTTCCAAAGAAACATTGAAAAAGTCTCATTTCCCGATGTGCACATTACCAATAACACAACAAAAGATTTATTCGATCCATGCTGCGGCCAAAAAAAGTGCATTAAATATGGACCCCGGAAATTTTTAGAGGTGGGATAAGAAGCTAAAATAATGATATCAATTTTAAATTAAAAAGGTAACTCAATATACCAGTATGTGTCATAATAATTCAAATCAAATTATTAAGTTGTTTGCCATTAAAATGTATGATTCCCAAACATTCAACATCTAGTAATATTTTATGCCTAGGAGAGGAGTGTAGAATCATTGTTATGAAATAAAAAAAAAAGTTAAGGTAATTCTGTATGTGACATGAAATGTCACAAGCTTTTAAGATGCACTGATTTGTGTGTACTAGAAACAACTGTTTTTTCACCCTTTATATTTAGAGAAAATATGTGTGATCAGGAATTTCATGTATTTCAGGAATTTTAGGAATTATATGAAATTCGTATTCTGCTTAGGGAATACACGTATTTACTGATTTCAGTTAGTAAATACATGTAATTACTGTACTTTTCAATACTTTTTAAACATATTTACTGACTGTGTTTTGTGGTATAAATTACAATATGAATCTTAAAATTTGAAAAATGCACAGTACATTCAATTTTATATCAGATAGCATACCATATGCGAATAAATAATATTTTAAAGAAACCTTTACTTGTTTATGAATTTAAGAAATGCATTATTTGTTAATAAAAAAAAACATTATGTTACTCTGCTTTCATTTTCTGGAATGTGTTTTCCAGATCACAAAATACTTTAACTAACTTTCAGTTATTTTTATACATTTTTTTTTAAAAAACTAAAACGGCTTACTTTGCATTTCTTATTTTATTATATGGATATACAATGTTATATTAATTGACAGTAGATTAAAACCTGGACGCATCTTATTTACAAATAAAACAATTCTTATGCTGTCTCCCAAATAATGCACAAAAAAATCTTGTTAAATACACATAATGTAACGAAATTGAAGTCAGTAATTCAAGATGGAACTTTACATCAAGGAATTTTTCATCCTCACAATTTCAGTAGTTCAAAATTGAAAAATTTATTTTTACAAATTAAGTTTAAATTAACTAATAATTGCAAAACATATCTATGTTACCTTAACTTTAAACATGTAAGACTCAAATAAACAGAAATACCACATATTATCACCATTTATAATTCGTACATTTTTGATAAATATTATGATAATTAAAAAAACTAGTTTAAATATATCATTGTGATGCTGAATGCAACATTTTCATAGCTTCTTTAGAAATAATATTTTTGAAATGTGAATACATGTATTTGGTACTCCATCAAAATTAGAAGTACAATAAAGAATTCAAATTTAATGGATAACATCAGCTTCGTAGAAACAATTCACACCGAATGCTGATTTAAAAACAAGAATTTAAGTATTTGTATACATACTGAATGTTTTAAGGGATATACATATTCATCCAGCTTAGTTCAGTAAAAACTGTAAAATTGGCTAAAAGTTTAAGTAAATACATGAATTTCCTAGCTATTCAGGAATTACATATATTTCCTAAAATTGCCAGTAAAAACAATTTTTTACTAAATGGAAATTCCTGATTTCACATATTTACTGTTACACCCATACTAATATGTTCGGAACCTTTTCCTTTTCGGTGTTCTGCTAATTATTTAACCCGTTGAGTTCAGAGTAGCTCTGACAGTGGCTCTGGCGAGAGTAAGCGAGACTTTAGCGAGGTCGGGTAAATCATTCACGGAAATGTGGCTAGGAAGTAACTACCACGTGGAGACATGGTAAACAGAAAAGTTATGTTACGTTTTAGTTTTCACCACCCTAAAATATCATTCTGTAGAAATGTACTTCAATAGATCTCTCTTGAATTCATTCAAGTTTAAGTTATAAGTATTCTCTATGATACAATTTTTTGCTGTCATGAATTAAAACTTCCTTTTGGACAAATATAATCAGATTAGCAAATGAGTCACCAATGTGAGTTTAACTGACAAATCAGCTGAATGAGAATTGCATTATGGGTAACTACGAATACTACTGGAATTTTACGCTTGATAAATTCTTTATTGTACTATCGGTGAATACAATTGTCAGGTAGATTCCCTAAAAATGTTTTGTCCATTTAAATGCATTCGAGGTGCTGCTCGTTTTCCTTACCTTTGAAGTGCTGTTTTTCTGAACTTGACACTAACTAAACGTAAACATTTTATAAAACATATTATTCTCTAATTAACAACAAATTAAAAAACACCCGTGATATCTTTCATAGTTTCTAATGTTTGCATTTTGTTCATAAGAACTTTTTTTTAATTTTGCACTCCGTTGACATGATCATAGATTGATCTGAACCACGTGTTTGAAGTAACATGTAAACATGTATTTGGCGTAAACGTTTTCAATCAACGATTGGTCAATTGCTCGTGGTAAGATCCTCTGTGCACGTTATTAGCAATAGCCATATAAGACAAAGAAAGGTTTGTCAGTGTAGATGATATTACACATTTTGTATTACCAGCGTATCGGTCGCTATTCAGCTCTAATTTTTGCAGTAAACTGTGATAAGATGTGTAAACTTTTATTTACACCCCCCCCCCATTTAGCCACCCCTTTCTGTTGAAAATGATTGAAGTCTTTCAGAAAGGTCTGGAAACATATTTTTCACAGGATATGTTTTTAAAAAAAACCAGACTATAGCAAGTTCCTGTTTACTGCCAATTTTATTTATAAAACCGATTCTACCCTATAACCTTTGAATAGGTAAACCTAAACCACGTGTCTTGAATTTAAATCACAATTACATTATTTATAGATTACGTCCATGACTCCACTTTTTAACACTAGCCTATATAAGGACATTTGATCTATATTTAAATCAACAAAATGGAAAACCCCGATTCAGGATTAGGAACAAATGATATTTACGTAACTTTATCGAAAACTTATAATTACGTAAACTCATCGGAAACTTACAAAACAGTGGTTGGGAAATCACTTGAAGATTTTAGGCTTTGTTGCCATAGTAACTGAAACAGAGAAAGTTGGATACTTCTGACTTAAAATAATAATTTTGAATATCTGCTGATTAAAATGACATATTAAATGCATATGTAGCTTTTCTTAAAATTTATCTGTCTGCATTTACATGTACATATGTCACATATGTTGTGAAAACCCTGTTTATTGTTTTTTGTCCTGTCTGTCTGTTTTTCTGTCTGTTTGCCTCCCTGTCTGTGTGTTGTCAATTTAAACCTTCGCCATAATTTTGAACCATGAGAGATTGAGACTTTATATTTTGTATGCATACGCCACTTATTTCAGTCTTCCAAATGACACCAAGATCAATGACCTTGTGACCTTGACCGTCTCTTTTATGCATAAAATAGCTTTTTCGAACTTTTTGCCACCGGGTGCATCGTGTTTCACAATCACATCTTGTTATATTTGGCGCTTAAATTGAGCATCATAGTTCTGGCAACCCGATTAAGTTTGCAAAGTACTTCGCAGGAATTGGTCTTTCTTGCTTTAAACATTTACAAAACGATAAATACATTTAATTCTTTACAGACAAACGATACGTTCATAATGAAATATAATATTTTCTGATATTTTGTCATTGAAGTATTCCGACTTCAACATGTGTACTCATTAAAAATGAGATACCTTACTAGACATTTGTGCAAGATACCAAATGATGGTGTTTCTCATATAATCCTTCTGAAAAAAAATGATTTAAATACCCAAAATATTAGCTGATTGATTGCTAGAATTGAGTACTCGAAACCAGTCTGAAAATCATTGTGTGACTATGATTTTAAGCCTTTTTTATACATTACGAAGGTATAGAAAACATATATCTGAGGAACGTCTCTTACGACCTTAAACAGCAAATTAAGATATTTTTGTCCTTTATATAACCAGGTATGGCCTACTACGGCTTTGGATATGTTGTTAAATCCTGTCCAAAAAACCTTTTGGAACACAAAGCAGCAGCCTTCAAGTTAAAATTTGGTGCCGACAAATACGCCAGAAGTCAGTATCTATGCATTCCCAATTTTAAGAAGACAGCTCTAGTGGAATATTGCCTGACTGGTACAGTGGCACCTTATAATCAAGGTTCGTATTCCATGACATGATTTATAAGAATTGATTTTATAATATTTCTGACTTAATTAACTTTATATGACAATTATCTAATATTAACACTTAACATGATTATAGTTATCTACTTTACGTACATGCACTTTTCTTAGCTAAACACGCGACTTTTTTCCCCGTCATTTTCAATACCGGTATATGATCAAAATGCTATTTAAAATTTATGACAAAACATAAAAAAGGTTCACTTTACCTGATTGATAGGTAAAGTTGATTTGTTTTTATTTCCAGGCTGATTTATAATAATTTTTTTCCATGTCTCCATGAAGGTAACTGCCTGGTGGTTACCAATGATGGGGCTGTAGATATCGTCAACTGTAGCAGTTTCACCGAGGGTTGTCCTAACAGGTTATTCAGAAGTTCAGATGTTTATCAGTGTAAGTTCGGTCTCAAATGATCAGTATTTCAACAATACAATCGCACTTATGCATTTCATTCTATAATTGTTCTATCGAGTAAAATCAAAATATTTTGAAAGTATTTAATTAAACACATTCAATTCCTGGCTCAGTTTCATTATCAATATTTATATTAAAATAGTTCCAGCATGTCTCGAAATAAACACAGAAGAGAGGTGTTTCTATGCAGATCCGACATGTCCCAATACTAGTTTTAACGACTTTTCTACAAGTGGTTATTCTAATATAACAACAGAAATTTCTCACGAAAATGACCAAACTCCTGCTAGCGCAATAGCAATCATTTATATCGTATTACTGGCTGCAATATTGGCTATCATGTCCATTGGATATTTAAAGATGACTAAAAGGAGGAAGTCAGGTATACTCAATCGGAGTCCATACTCCAAATTATTGTGAAATGATATCAATGTTCATGGAGTCGAATGTTCGTGGACTTACTCATAATTTTACAACCCCAGGAAAATGTTTTTTTTCTAAATATATTGATTCATTGAGCCTACCGTTAAATCATGTAATATGTTTCAGAACTTACCTTTGGACCGGGAAGTT